AGATTGGCCCATAAAAAGCTTTGCTGTTTTTGAACACATTTAAAGAAAGTAACATTTCACCTTCAAATATATATATGACAATAATTTCAATAACAATAGTGCTGGTTAAATATAATTATTGAGACTAGTAGCTCAGTCAGGAACAGAACTTTAAGAAGCTTCTGAGCTTGTAATGTCACCTTTGCCACTACCACAGTACATAGTTCTGGGTAGGGGGAGAAGGGGGGGGGGATCTCTCCGGACTCTTCTCTCAGTTAAACTGAGAAGAATGATATTTTAAGCAAATTGTCCATTATCACAATTGAGCAGCTGATCATTTCTTAAATTACGTTCAAAAAGAAGTACAAAAAGATCCATAGATTCTTTTACTAAAAGTGTCCTATGTTCAATAAACTTGGGTAAGAGTAAACGGCTCCTCATTATACCAACCCCAGAGAAACAAACCTGGAAACGTGCCCATAATCTCCAAGAGCATTCTGTACTTACCAAACATATTGAACAGAACCAATTTTTCAAACCAATAACATAACAAACAAAGCCTTTGTAAATGTTGGGGTGGCTTATGGTCAGTGAATAGTAACAATTTGTGAATACTGCTTTGCCATGAGGGGGCCAGGGAAATAGGAATGTGGGTGGAGAGGGATGTGGGGTCAAGGTAGGTTTTTGTCTTCAAGATGGGAGATATTATATATAGATATTATATATTATAGATATATTATATAGATAGCAATAGTGATGCATTGGAAAGGAAAAATGAATGATCTAGAGAGCGGTGATAACTGTAGAAGCAAATCCTTGGACATTGAAGAAGGAATGGCTTCTGCACAAGTTAGAGAGACTGCTTTAGATAAAGCACAAACAGTATTTGTTGTTACAGATACTGTTAGAAAAGAGATTTAGTATACGGTGGGAGGAAGGGGAAGTTGCCTTTTGAGTGCTTCCATTTTCTCATGAAATAAGAAACAAGGACAATAAACTAAGATTAAGACTGAGGAAGGAGGTATAGGAGGTTTGGAATAGTTACCTATGGAAGTGGAAGAATGAAACAACTAGGGAAATATTGCACGACTGCAAAGCATAACTAAAGTCCCACTGAGAGGGTGGCCAGACAACATGGCAGTTACTTTCTCCAGTGATGCTAGAGACCTGAAAAAAGCAGAGTGGCATTGAACTAGGATGTGGTTCTCCTTCACAAGTTCAGTGAGAGAGGATCAAAAGCGTTGGAAGTGTATGCAAGGGAGTGATAGGATTATCAATCACTGACTCTGAGCAGTGAGAACAGTGAGCACTCCAGAGGCTGAGGGGCAGAGAAGTGAGGGCCCTCAGGTAGGAGGCCGGAGTCGGATGTTAAAGAGGCTTAAAGGCAGGTGAGGCTATAGAATAATGAAAGAGGGGAGGGCAGGAAGAGGTGAGGTCAGGAAGGCAGCTGAAGCCACACCATGCAAGGTCTAAAAGGCCATAGTAAGAACTTAGGCTTTTAATTCTAATAGACATCCAGTGGAAAATTTTCATGCTTCTGTAAAAGCTCTTTTCCCATCTGAGTTGAGGAAGAATATGAATAATAACAAAATATGAATAGTAAAAAAAAAAAAGAATATGAACAGTAAATGAAAAAAATACATACGGAAAAAATTTAAAGTGAAGCTTAAAAGCTGTCACAACAGTTTGAGGAAGCTTCTTATGAATAACTAATTACAAAAACATTCAACAGTAAGAGAAGTGGGAGCTGTTTGAGAATTACTTCATCTTCCAGTGAAAAGCAGCTTTTGTTTCCCTAACACAGATTTCCAGTGTTAGATGGGAATCACAGAAAGGTGGGAAGTTAGGAAAAAAATGGAATTATGTCATATTACTACAGGAAAAATATCTGAGTTTTTCTCAGCTTTAAAATTATAACCCAAAAGTGTGCCCATTCACACAAAGACCCATATCTAAAAATTAAATTAAATTCAAACTTCTCCGTCAAAAATATTCCTCTTTATATGGACCTAAATACTTCCTGCAATTGTTTCAAGACAGAGAAATGATTATTAAGCTTTGCTTAAAAACAAAACAAACAAGGAATATTTTTTCACAGGAAAAAAACTAAACAAATGACTCTTGTTTGACAAAATATAGATTAAAGTGTAACGTTTCAAGTCTGCTGTGAGTTTGAAGAAATGTTATTATAACTGAGACAAAACAGTAGGTTTTATTAGTACGTGTAAAAGTGATGATGGATAAGTGGGAGAATACTTTATATTCAACTGGCGGCAGAGAAAGCTAAGGGGGCAAAAACACCACAATTTAAAAAGATAAAGCAATGAACGCTGCAATTAGAAAACAGGAAAAAGACATGCACAAACATTTCACTGAAGAGAATAGACAGAGAGCAGTTAAGCACATGAAAAGTTCTTAGTCACTAATCATTAGCCATTAGGGAAATTCAAATTAAAACAACAATGAGATATCACTATATACTTATCAGAATGGTAAAATGAAAAATAGTGACACCAAATCTTGGCGAGGATGCAGAAAAACTGGATCACTCATCCATTGCTGGTGGGAATGCAAAATGGTACAGACATTCTAGAACATAGTTTGACAGTTCCTTTCAAAATTAAAAACAAACTTATCAAACAACCCAGCAATTGCACTCCCAGAGAAACAAAGACTTATTTTTACTTAGGAACTCATTTTATAGGAGCTTTATTCATAATACCCAAGAACTGGAAACTATCCAAACGCCCTTCAATGGGTGAATGATAAAACTGTGGTACCTCCATACCACGGAATACTACTCAGCCAGAAAAAGGAATGAACTGTTGATAGACACAGCAAACCGAATGAACTTCAACGAAATTCCACTGAGTGAAAAAAGGCAATCTCAAAAAATACATTATGCCTAATTCCATTAATGTGACAACTGTGAAATAAAATTACAGGCATGGAGAAACAGGTTCGTGCTTGCCAGAGGTTAGAGATGGGAAGAGGGGGAGAGCAGTGGGTGACTCTAAGAGGGGTAGCCCTAGAAAGCCTTGTGGTGATAGCTCCCCTGTGTCAGCGCATATCCCACGGACACATATTTCTAAAACTTAGAGCTTGTTAAAGCTGGGAGAAGCATGATGCCCACCATCTGCCTCCTTCTGTTAAATTCTGAAACTGCTTTTCAGTCAGTTGAGGCTTTTTGTTTTATCATTTTATATGTGACCACTCCAACTTTTAGAATTTCATAAAATTGTGCATACAACATACAAACTAAAGCATCTAAATCGAATACACTCATTTTACAGATATATACCCCAATGCATGAAGGAAGGGCTACTGGCTAAATGATTATTTTACTGTTTTATAGTATATTTCAAACAAAAACAAAATTTTAATATCATTTACCTCAAGGATTTTATCTCCAGTTTTTAGAGCGTTTGTTTTTCCTGCCGGACTGTCTTCTAAAACTTGTTTGATAAATATGCCTTTAAGCTCCTCTCCATTCTTCAGGCGTTTTATAACAGTTTGCCCACCAACAATGCTAATACCAAGAGATACATCTGGTTCTCTAAAAATCTCAACACTGTTAAAAGAAAAAAAACAAAATTCACTCATAAACAAGTTAATTTAATTTGTTGGACTGTTACTGTAAGTGTTCAATTTGTACCATATCCTTGAAACTCATACTTGACGTAAATATATTTTCTAAATATATTTTTACAAATGTTATAGTAATTGTACCCAGTTCCCAAATTATAAGGTATTATCAATAATTCATGGCACATGTGAAAGTTTAAATTCTGAAAAAGATAGGTTTCTAAAACAATAAATACAACTCTTAATATTGAGAGATTTAGCGAGGGCTTAATGGTCCTATCTCCTACCACAATATGTTTTCTGTGATTAGTCCTTTTCATTTACATCCATAACCTCACCAAACAGATTAAGGAAATAAAAAATGGGTGAAACATCAAGAATGTCACATATATCATTTTTGCAAAAAGCACAGACTTTCAGTATCAATTTGCCACTGAGAGGCTCACTGTCCAAGCTGCTTTTCACAGTCAGCAGGTTTAACCTGTGGTTCTATAAGTGGAGGGCAGATTTTATCTGCTCCTAAGACAGGATGATTTTTTGTTCATACCTCCATGTCATTTTTAAAAAGTGTGAAACAGGGCCGGCCGAGTGGCTCAGTTGGTTAAGAGCTCGCTCAAGAGTGCGAGCTCTGAATAACAGGGTCGTCGGTTCAATTCCCAGCCCGAGCTGAGCTGCCACTGAGCTGCCGACAGGTGGCAGGATGGCTCAGCTAAAAGAATAAATTAAAAAAAAAAAAGTGTGCAATAAAACTTGCCCCTCAAAATATTATGAATTTTGCCCGAAGTACACAGACGTGACCAATAATTAACTCAAATAAAAAAGTCACTCAGAAAACAGCTCCTAAGAATTAAGACATAACTCACAAGTGCAAAAAAAAAACCAAAACAGATTTTGGGTGGGCATGGTGTAATTAATAATTCATGAAGAATAGAGAGAGCGGCTAAAGGAAGACTTTTATAACTTTAATAAAAGTACAGCCCTGATGACTACAGAAAATTAGGTGAGTATACAAGGGAAGATGGGCTCAACACATTGTGTTAGCTCAAGCAAGACACAAACTTGGACCAACACAAGGTAAGGAGCTGGAGATCAATTGACGTAGGATAGCAGTTTCAACTACTGTTGCTGCTTATAAATAAAGAAACTTGACTACATTCAAGGCAGCCCTACCTACCCTGCTTAGTGATGCAGTGATAAACTGGAGTTAGGCCATCAGTTACCATCATCGATGGACATTTATTTGTAAATTGCTTTCTCTGAAAGAGTATAAAATAAAAGATTTTCCTAATGTGGATTATAATCATTTTGCCTGGCTAAAAACTTCCAGGTAGATAAGACAAAATAAAACTAAAATTTAGGCCAGCCTACATGTGAATCACAGCAATTTCCCAATAGTTAGAGAATGAATGGCACTATTAAGTTAAAGAAAAAAAGCTACTGATTGTGTTTTCCTATTAAGAAAGCCAAAAATGTCAGCAACATACGTTCTTGGTGGACCCCAGTGGCTGAAATTTGGAGTTTCTTCTCCTTCACCTTCTTCTCTCTCAGGTAATTCGCTGAGGAAGGAGAAAAGAAAAAAAAATAAATAAAAATAAAATTATATATATATGCATACACACAACTTATAAGACACACTCTTGTTAATTAAAGGTTCTTGGAAAGTTTTGAAATTGCACAATCTATACATAGTTTAATAGTTCTTAATTTTTAAGCTTTTAAAATACGTACATCAACAGTTAAATGTCCATATAAAGCAAAAATATACTGCTTTAACAAAGTCTGACTCAACAAATATCCACCCAGCACCAGAAAATCATAGAACTATCATAAATACTTTTATTGGTGACATTCTATATGCTATTTTCAAATAATATGTGTTTGATTTGTACAATTTCATATTTGTTTCTTTATCAATATATAAAATGTTATAAAATGTTCATTAAAACTTGATATTGATTGACCAGCTAAGAGAACAGTCCAGTATAAACCAACATAAATTGCTCAACAGTCAGTAAACATGATCCCTCTTTCTAGATTTTTCTGTCACTCTAACCCTATATAATTCCCATCATTTGCATCCCATGAACAATTTGTGTAGTCATACAGCACTTTTCAGTTTACAGAGAGATTTACTTGTTACCTAATTTGACCCTCCCACCTAATACCACCATACTTGCACCCATCAAGTTATGTTAGTATGGAACTGCTGAACTGGGTAACATAAAATGCTGAATTACAGAGTAGTTCTAAAAGTAGTGCTATTTAATAGGCTAGAGACATTACCATATATTACCTGGAAGAGGAGTCAGGCGTCCTGAGCTCCAGTCTGACCTGCATCACGAAATAGGTGTGTGGCTTAGGACCACCAAATGAAATAATATGTATGATATTGTAAATTGTGTTATTCTATTCAAAATGTAGGTACTACCTCTTTCATTTTCACAAAAACCCTGTGAGGTAAGCACAGCAGGCCATACTATTATCTTTTTCACAGGAGGAACTAAGGCTCAGAGAAGAGGCAGGCACACTATGTAACCTCTTCACAGTATGCAAATCTTTCTTGTAGTAGTTTCAATGCTCCATTATTCTTTGAACTCTCAAATAAGCCCTGTAAAACGTAGCAAAAGTCAACCTACTTGCCTCTCTACAGACTTTCTACGATATAATGGTTTAAGGTTGAGTGAAAAAGAGAAAGCTGAAAGGATCTAGACAGTCCAAAAATCAGCTAAGAAATTTGGATCATTCGGGGTCCATTAACATCTCACCCACTACCAGATGGCCTTCTTGCCTCAGCCAGTCTATTTTTTATGATTAAAAGCATCATAGCATTCAGGGGAAAACAGCTTGGCAGATATGTACTGGTTACTTATCTAATGTCCTCTCTCCCATTCTCCCTTACCAACAGAACCCCTCTTTTATTCCAGGTGGCAATATGCCCAACTGTAAAAAAATACGTTTTCTGGACTTCCTTTCAGCTAACGGTAACTGTGTGCCACAGTTCTGATCAGTGATATGGAAGCAAAGAGTCCCTGGATGAGATTTCCAGGAAAACTCAATAAACAGAGGGAGAATCACTTGGCAGGAGCCTTTTGCTCTATGCCCTTCCCCTTCTTCCTTGCCTAGAATGCAGAGATGATATTGGTGGTGAAGCATCCATCTTAAAATTATGAAGAAACAATGAGGACTGAAGTAGTACATTAAGGACAGAAAGGAAGAAAGTCTTTGTTCCTAACAGACCACCTTCTTTGGGACTTTTTACATGAAAAAAATTAACCTTTTTGGGTAAACCACACTAAGTGTGTGTGTGTGTGTGTGGGGGGGGTTCTGTTTATGAACCTCTGAATGCAGTCCCTAAGTGATACACCCATGAGTCCACCAGTTTAAGTGTTCACTTTATCATATCACATTATTAGTCTTTGCACATGTACATATACTTGTATGTTCATTGGATAGTTGTACTCATAGTAAACTTTCATATTTTGATTATCCTTTGTAATAGGAACAAGGATTAAATAAGACTGGCATTTAACAGAGGCTCAACCAATATTCATTTCCTTTGCAATTTTTTCAATTTTGTATCAAAGTTTCCCCCACATGTTATCATAATCTTCATCATTTTTTATTGAATAGCATCTTAATAGTCTATGGTGGTAATTCATGTAATTTATCTGCTGTCCCAAATATGACACATTTAGATTATATCCTGTTTCCTGGAATATGGACATTACTGCAAGAAATATCTTCATGCTGTGTTGCATTTTAGAATTCCCTTTTAAATAAATATTAAAGATTGAAAACTAAAAACCAAACCAACACTGAAACCTTCCTTGTCTCCATTTTCCACTTTCTTGTATCCCAAATTGTGACAGGTGTGATAAGAAATAAACATTTGGTGTTTGTTTTGGTTCCTGACATAGAGCTTCTAAAACCCTTGGAATTTCCTGAGTGATGGGGGTGATGGGAGCATCTTTATTAATAACAAGCTCCTTTCAACCATACCTGAGTTTATGCTAATAAGGTGATTCTTGTAGGACCCTAGACAGCTTGAGGGTGGGGGCTGCTGCCAGAGAAACAACCAGGTAATTAGAGTTAGAGCTTTCAGCCCCATCCTCAGCCCCACCTCTGGGAAGGGGAGGGCTAGAAGTTGAGTTCATTCACTAGTGGTCAATGATGTAATCAATAATGCCTGCATAATGAAACCTCCATGAAAAAAACTAAGACAGGGCTCAGAGAGCCTCCAGGTTGGAGAATACATCCAGGCATTGGGAGGGTGATGTGTCCTGAGAAGGCATGGAAGTTGTGTGCATCCCCCAAACCTCCACTTAATACCTTGCCCTATGCCTCTCTTCCATTTGGTAATTCCTGAGTTGTAACCTTTATGATAAACCAATAATAGGAAGTAAAGCGCTTTGCTGAGTTCTGTGAGCCATCCTTGCAAACCTGAGAAAGGGGTCATGGGAGCTTTCAGTTGAAAGCTGGTTGGTCAGAAGTACAGTCATCAACTGGCATCTGAAGTCAGGGCAGTCTTGTGGGACCAAACCCTTATTCCGTGGGGCCTGCGCTAACTCCAAGTAGTTAGTGTCAGGATTAAGTTGAATTGTAGGATACCCAATTAGTGTCCAAAGAATCGCAGAGCTGGTTGTTGAGTGGAGGAAAAAACTCATACATTTGGTGTCAGAAGTATTGTGAGCAAAAAGAGTTCATAATAGGTATTAAGAGAGAAACCTAGATATGAATTTTTATTATGGTACATATATACTATCATTATAGGAATTAGATTCTTCAATTTTAAAAAACCTGGAATAGAATGGAAGCCAAGCTTTAACATTAGTATAAGCTATTAGTTTTTCTATTAAAAAAATTAAAAACCAAAAATATCCTAAACTGCCGGCTTTCGCATACAAATTAAGGGGGAGGGGGGACATTCTATTTAAAATACAGAAAATTTTAGGGCCGGCCGGGTGGCGCGTTGGTTAAGAACTGGCTTGGGATGCCAGAGGGCCCTGGTTCGGATCTCACATATGAGGGCCAGTGACACTGCCCTCTACAGCTAAGATGCTGAACAACAGCTCAACCTGGAGCTGGGCTGCGAGGAGTCACCAGCGATGGCGTAGGCTGCAGCCTCTGTGGCAGTGGGTTGCCATGGGCTACCGTGTGTAGCCAGCGTGAGCTGCCAGCAGCTGCAGTGAGCGGCCGTTCAGAAGCCAGTGACTGATCTGCCTCACCCGGGAAGAGCGCAATGATGGTGCCAACTTGGGCCAGTGAAGCAACGTCCTCCACAACTAGACTGAAGAACAAAAGGACAGCAACTTGTCTGTTCCCCTTCCCCCAATTCCCCAGCACTGTTCCCATCTCCCCGATTCCCCAATAAAAATCTTTAAAAAAAAAATACAGAAAATTTTAGATAAAGTGTGTAACAAAAATATTATTTTGTTGGAAGAGACTCACTGACTTTTTTTTCTTTTTCAATTATAGTTGACATTCAATATTATTTTATAGTTTCAGGTGTACAGCATAGTGGTTAGGCATTTATATAATTTATGAAGTGATCTCCCCAATAAGTCCAGTACTCACCTGTTATACATAATTATTACAATATTACTGACTGAATTCCCTATGCTGTACTTTACATCCCTGTGATTATTTTGTAAGTACCAATTTGTACGTCCTAATCCCTTCACTTTTCTCACCCAGCGCCTATCCCCAGTCCCATCTGGTAACCATCAGCTTGTTCTCTGTATCTATGAGTCTGTTTCTGTTTTGTTTTTTTGTTTATTTTGTTCTTTAGATTCCACATATATGTGAGGTCACATGGTATTTTTCTTTCTCTGTCAGACTTATTTCACTTAGTATAATCCTCTCCAGGTCCATCCATATTGTTGCAAATGGTTAAGACTTCATTTATTTTTATGGCCTAGTGATACTCCATTATTTATATGTACGACATCTTCTTTATCCAGTTGTCTGTTGATGGGCACTTAGGTTGCGTCTATATCTTGGCTATTGTAAATAGGACTGCAATGAACACTGGGGTGCATGTATCTTTTCAAATTTCACTGACTTTTGCAAAGCACATTATCTTTCTTCAGGAAGTTGGTGTACAAATATTTTAATCAGATTATCTCATACTTAAAGAAAGATAAAACTTGCAAAAGCTTATCCAGATAGTGTGATTCATTTTGGAAATACAGCCACAGAAGATGATCAACTATACAAATTAATGTAGTCCCCTTACATTGTTGAATGCATATGCCTTTTAATACAAAATAAAATTTAACTGAGAAAGTAAAATACTTTTACTGCACTTATTAAGATGAAAATTTACAAACATATTTAAAACTTTAACAAGGAATGTCTAACCTCAAATTTTATAATTTGTACTGTGATTAAACATGGTCAATGGTTCAATCTGTTAGAATCTCAAATCCTAACTGAAATTTACCTCTTATATTTAACCAGTTTCACAACCAGTTTACCCTGCCCCCCTCCAAATTAACCATCCAATAAAAAGAACCCTTTTTATTTTAGGCCTTTTTACAAATGCCCAAAGTTATCA